TGTGTCGTTCCTTTTGTCTTCGTGGTTTACTTTTCCTTAATAAGTAGAATCTGAACGAAAACAGACGTCCTGTCGTTCCGGGGGGTTTTGGGTTTTTTTTTTTCTGTCCACAAACAATCTTGCCGCTACCATGTGGTTTTGAGACCTCCTACTTTGGCACAAGAACCCAAAGAAGGCAGGCTGCCCTCTTTTCATTCCCGGGGGTTTATCTTACCCGCTTAGGGCAGCCATCGGGGGTGCTCCTGGCCGGTGTGTGGCATTGTCCACGCAGCCACAGGCACAGGGCCGCCGGCTCCTTCTCTCCCTGACCTTCCACTCCGGGGACAGAGACAGATTGAGGACAGGCCACCATGGGAGTTTCTGCCCTCAAACACCAAGCACTCTGGGCAATGACCCCACTGCAGAGGTTTCCCACGCTGGCTGGGCACTGGAACAGCCTTTCAAGAGCCCAGTGCCCAGCCTCACCCATCCCAGGTAGGGCAGACTCTCTGCAGGCAGCAACCCGACAGAAACATGCGGGAAGGGTTCAGAACCACTGCCCCAGGGGACACCCCGCAGCACCCCGCCCCCAGGATGCAGGTATCAGACTAAGGCGTGGGGTAGAACGGGGGTTTGCCAATAACCGCGTTCATAAAACTGAGAAGCCCTGTCGGGATTCGGCTGCCAGGGTCGGCTTCTCCCCTTTACAGATGTTTTCTGTCGGCAGCCTGGGGATTTAGGTCAAGTTACCTCCAAGCGGTCTTATCACTAGAACTGCTTAATGCTGCTCACTTCCAAAGGGTGACTCCCTCCCGACACAGTTCCATACGGTTGCTGAGTTGTGAGATCTAGGGTCAGAAACCAGTCAGTGTTTCAGTTTCTTTATTGATGTTGCATTTCTTTCTAGGATGCAGAAAAAAAGAGACACAGGGATGTATATATAAATATATAGACGCACACACATATATATGCATGTGTGTATATAACATATATTGTACACACATATGAGTATATATACACACACACTATGCACACATATATGTATATGTACCCACACGTGCCTAGAAATAATTCCAGAATGACACTGAACTGGGTTAGAATTTGGGGACAGGGGCTCTGGCAGTTGACACCCCCTTCCAGGAGCAAGGAGCAAATCCTCAGTGGCAATGCTGGGTAATTTTTAAGCCAAGAACACGGTAGGATGAACCCAAAGAAATTCATCTGCAGTTGAGGAAGAAAAAGCCTTTTAAAAACAAGAAGATGTTTTATGATAGCGGAATTTGTTGAACCGGACAGAGGGTGTCGTGCTAAGGGTGGAAATGAAATCTGAGGACACGAGCGCGGGGGCGTGGTGCCCGGGTGGGAAGCTCTCTGCGCTCCCAGCGCTGAGCCCAGTGGCCGGAAGGCGTCCTCCTCTGCCGGCCAGTGGACTGACCCCCAGGTTCCTAGAGGGTCCAGCCTCCTTCGTCATCTTCTTCTCTTTGTCCAGCTTTGAACCAGATGCACACTCGATATTAGCTGGAAAAATTAAACAAATGAGTCACTTTCAAATGTCATAACAAAACTTATGAGTTAGGTTTAAGGTTTAGAAAGTCGATTTCAATATATGAAGTGTTACCTGCCCCGTCACCGTTTTTCAGAATTCCTCTAACCAATTCAACTATTCTTGTTTCTGATTTTTACTTCCTAAGGAGCTATTATGACAAAAACTACTGAAATACCTTGATCTAGGAAGGCAAAACATAATTTAAAAATAGAGTCACTATGGAATCTCGTATAGTGCCCCTGTTAAGGAGTGTGAAGGTATATTTTTCTCAAGGTCTGACCGTCTCCATAAAACAGTTGTCCAATTGGCTCCTTCCTACCTGTAATGCAGGCATTGCAGGGAAATGGGGGAGCTGTATACACATGCATTTATGGAGGAAAGATATTTTAAATGTTTTTCGACCAGTAACATTGTGAAAGCACCCAGGAGACTTGTGATGTGGAGCCAGCAGGAGCCTATGAGGTGAGGTGATGTCTGCCCTCGTCCCCGCTGAAACACTTAGCAATGTTGCAAATACAGAATAAACGCGATAATCTGGAAAGGTGGCAAAGGGGAGGGTCTTTACCCACTGTGGCTTAGGGTTGCTTTGTTTCTCGAAGGGAAAGCGAAGTATGCATCTAAGAAAGAAACATTTCAGCATTTTGAGGCAGGGAAGATTTTAAGTGCTAGGGAGATCTTCAATTGTTTTGAATCCTAACATTCCATCGTGCCATAGGAATGCCAAAGATTTTGCATACTAGATTAATCAAACCAATTATTCTTTCTTACATTTCCCAATAAAACTCTTTATCTCTTGAGGAACTTCAAGCCATCTGTTAGAAAAGGATGCACAGAATCCTCCTGCTGTGTCTGACTTGGGACTGAAAAGCCAACAGATGAATTGAAGACATTATTTCTTGTACAGAAAGGTTTGGGTCTTTTCATGCCCTGCCTTCATTTATAGATGTGCTCAGGCCACCCGCAAGTTGCAAATAAGACGTTTATAACTGGCTTGTTTGGAACTTGGAAAGTACGCCACGCCCTGTATCCTCTGGTCATCGCCTCCTTCATTAGCCTAATTGACTGTCCCCTTTGTGTTTTATACTCCAGTGTTGTTGAATTTGCCGTTCCTCTAACTGACCTTATCCGTCACGCCTCCATGCATTTGCCCGTGAGGTTTCCTCTGCCTGGAATTCCCTTCACTTCTCCACTAAGCAAACACTTAGCCTTCTTTCAAACCCTGGTGTCACCTTTACTATGAAGACTTCCTTGATACCAGTAATAGATGTCACCTCTCCTGCTCAAGCCCTGCCTCACACTTTAGCTCCCAGAGTGTGTGTAACAGCACTGAAGTATTATTACTCACCTTTCTACATGTCTGTCTCCATCACTAGGCTGTGAAATTCTTCAGGACAGGAATTATACATCATTCATCTCTGTATGTCTGGTGCCTGATCCAGTACCTCTTTGGTTCCTAATCTAGAAGTCGGCCGTCCGGAAAGTTCTAGCAAGATGTGGAATAAACAAAAAAAGAAGAAGGTACAGAACCCTGGAAGCAGTGCCTCCAACCCACAAGAGTGGCCTGGCAAGTCCAAGGATGACAGCTGAGCAGCAGCCTCTGACATCCACCAGCAGGGGTTGAGAGCAAAGAACAGAGCAAAGAACAGAAAGGACTTTGTGACGCAGGAAAAAGAGAACATAACTGAAAAGATGGAGACTCTGGGGCAGGATGGGGTGGGGAGAAGCTGAAGCTATTAAAAAAAAAAGGCTAATTAAAACTCTAGGAAAGAACAAAAACTTTGTAAGAGATGTTCTTTATAAGAAAAAAAATTATTCATTTCTTGTAGCTGGAAAAACAATATTCACATAGTCATAAAATAGAAATTTTGATTATTAGTTTAACTACAAATAGTGATATATCTGTACCAGGACAGAGGTGGAGATGAGAGGGAACTAAGTTAGGGCCAATGAAATCTGAGCCCAAGTCGTTGGTAGGACTTATGGAAAACCTCCTTAAAAGGTCAAAAACCACGTGGGGCATTCCCCTCTTCCTCTCCTGTGTCTTCTTTCTAGCCAGATGTTGAGAGTCCAGGGTTTCCATGGTGGCTCTGTAATCATTTGGGATCCAAGTTCCTGCTCTCTTTCTGCTCCCTGGGTCTGGTTTCTCTTATGTGAGAGATAAACAAATCTTTATCTTGTTTAAACAGATTTTGCTGGATCTCTGTGCTGGCAGCTGAACACAATCCCTGTGTGCTACGAAAAATAGAGCATTTTATTTAGAGATAGGGAATTAACCATCCCAAGGAACACAGCCTTCTCCAGCTGGGCTAAACAACTTAGGACATGTTCGGGGGGGAGTGGGGGGGAGCAGCGTGGGAGGCATATGCCCACCATCGACTGCTTGTGCACCCCCACGTCGAGAGGTGATGAGTGAGCACGTGGGGAGAGCCAGGCCGAGTCAAGGGGTACGTCCTCTCAGCAGCAGCTTCACCTAATTCTTAATAAGATGCGTATGTCTGGCCACTGATTTAAAAATGCAGCTTGAATTATGGAATCGTGGTTTGGATACACTTAAACCTGGGCGGGATGCTGCTGATTAAACTCCAGTGTTGATACACTTCCCAGCCCCTCATTCCCCTCTCCTCCGCCTCTTACAAGTCTCAGCTGCCACAGTCAGAGTTCCGCAGCCTGCCCTCCCCAGTAGGAGTGCAGTGAACGGTTGTTCACGCCGTGCACTGTGTTAGTCACTTACTGCACTTTTCTCCTCTTGTTCTTGCCGCCCCAGCCATAGCACGCTCCTTGCTCTCCCTCACCTTCCAGAAGCCTGCGTCCATCTCAGAACCCTGGTGCTCACCCTCTCTGCCTGAATATCGTCCCTCACTGATGAGTCACTGGCTGTGGGCTGGTCTCTCAAGGGGACCTGCTCTTGAGGGAAGCCGTGCTCTGCCTGTGAGGGGCAGTCCCCAGAGGACCCGACAGCCAAGGGCCATCTGCCAGCAGCCCTTCCAGCAGCTTCCTTCCTGAAGGGGAACCTGGTGGCACCCCACAACATCCACCACGTCTGTCTTGTTCATCGCTACATCTCGAGTGCCTTTGACCGTACGTGGTCCCTAGGAGGTACTCAGAACATTGTTTTTGTTTGTTTGTTTGTTTGTTTGGGTTTTTGTTATTCTTCTTTTGTTGAAGTATAGTCAGTTTACAATGCTGTGTCAATTTCTGGTGTACAGCACAATACTTCAGTCATACATGCACATACATATATTCATTTTCATATTCTTTTTCACTGTGAGCTACTACAAGATACTGAACATATTTCCCTGTG